TTTGCTCTCTCATATATCATTAATCATCCATAATATGAGTGAGACCCTCTACATTGGTCTAAATAAATTTAGACTTTCTTCGTAGAGGAGAGAAAAATTAGTCTTTATTTTGGACCATGTTTGGAATTACATAGATGCAGAATTCCTTTGGATGTGGTTGGAATTAAACTCACTGTGACAAATAGGTTAAAACACGTGTGTCAACAAATTGATTGTCTGCTAAATAACTTGATAAGCTTTAGAGTTATTTTTGTTCAAACATGTACACATGCAACACTTAAACCTCAAACATTAGAGATTGCACGATCTATTGAAAAGAGATGTCATGGTTTATCACTTGAAATTAGCAAAAAGGCCATAATCACATCAGTCACATTTTAGAATTTTTTTTTTCACATACATGAATGTCCTAGTAATTCTCAATCTATTCCATATTGTCCAATTAACTAGTTTGCCAAATTTCTGGGTAAGTTGAAGTCTATGTTCAAACAATGTAAAAAATTGGAATATGTGTCTCCGTTGGGAGAGTTACAAGCATTGTCAAGATTAGTCATTTCTCATACTTCAATTGAGAAAGTATGCAGGCTTGAAAATCTAATCAACTTGAAATGGTTTGACCTGTGCAACAATGAATTGAGATTGGTTTCAAAGTCTGTGCTATCAAGTTTGACCAACATGCAATATGCCTCTTGTTTGGATTTCGTGTGAGAAAAAAAAATATTTTTTCATTTTGTTTCGTGACAACTTGGTCTACATAGAATAAGAAAAAGTGGAAATGAAAATTTTTTATTTTGTTTTGTGACGACTTGATCATTAAAATGAGTATGGAGAATGGTAAAATTTTATTAGCAACTTACACGAAAAGTGAAATAAAAAGGAAGATAACTTTCAATCACATTTTTTTATTACTATTTAGTATTGGACAAAGTAACTTAATGATGAAGATGATGAGAAAACAAAGAGAAAATTGTCATTAGCTTTGAAGAAAAGAGAAAAATTAGTCTATATTTTTTTAACAATGTTTAAAATTATATAGATGCACAACCTAGAATCATTAAAATTAAACTCGTCATGACAAGTCGCTTGAAACACATGTAATAACATAATCAGAGTGAATCTATATAATAGAACACCTCATGCACTGGATAATGGTTATTGGGATCATCAAGTTGAAAAATAGAAATGAAAAAGAGTCTTGAAAACTTTCTTAAAAAGACATATCATACTAAGCTATAATAATTCAATGGAAAAAGAAATGCAAAATTATGTTGTATATTGTGCATTATTTACTCAATAAATTATTTGACGAAAGACATATCATACTAGATTATCATGTATATTATTTATATTAGAGGAAAGTGATTTGTAAGTGAAATTGAACGGAGATTGGGTGAAAATACTCAAGGACGCTTGCACATATAGGGGAAGAGGGGTTGAAGTTTTTAAATTTTTTTTTTAAAATGACATCCTAAGTTTTTTAATTTTATTCTTAAAAACCTATTCTGCAAAGTATTGCTCAAGCGATAATATATAATTTAGTAGAAAAAGAAATACAAAATTTTGTATGACAACATTTGTTTCTTTCAATTCTTTAACTTTAACTATGAAACGATCACCAACATAGTGCGTAAGAGAATGAGGAAAAAGAACTTTATTTTTTCATTTTTTTTTACAACGGTTTAGTCTACACAGAATGAGAGAAAGTAGTAAGGATTTGATTTTTTTTAATTTAGCTTTGTGACAGCTTGACCATTGGAATGTATGAAAAATGGTAAAAAATTTTAATTGAAGAAAAGTAAACTAATTTAATTAAAATATTCATTTTAATTCTTTATATATATATATTATTTATATTTGTTATATATATATATATATATATATATATATATATATTCTATAAAATTCTATTTATTTTAGAAACTAAAATAATATTTATATGCAAAATATAAAATAATAATAAATATAAAAAATAATAAGAACTTTGTTGTTTAAATTTATTTAACTTTAAATTAACATGATGAAATTAAGATTCATTGAGCCAAAGACATTAACAGTAGAACGGAAGAGGTAGTCTTTATTATTATTATTGAGTAGAAAAAATAATCTTTATTATATATAATATTCAAATATTAAATATTTACACTTGGTTTTGTATTTAAAAAGATTATGTACCAATAAAAAAATTTACGAGATCTTGTTTATAACAATCTTAGAAAACAAGAAATATAAATATAAGAGAAAACACATCTCTACTTTAGTTCCACCTAATCCATAAACAACAACAGACACTTCCTTCAGAATTATAGTTTTTGCTTTTGTTATCCTTTTTAACTCTTTAAATATAAGTGTTTATAAAAAAAGTATAAATTTAGATATTTTTTAATTAAGAAAATGTTGAATAAAAATGTATTATATCATTGATAATAAGTTTTATCTTAATAATTAATTTTTTATTCAATTATCTTGAGTGATTAGGTTAACTTAGAAGATTTATGTCACGTGATTATATGAATAATTGAGTTGAATCTAATTATATGAATTTAGAATACTAATTGTGAAGTAATGGTAAAGTCACTTAATTGTTGTCACATTGTGAATTGTATGGTAAATAATCTACATGAAGTGTGAATATTTTTGTGAGTAAAAAGTTAAGATCTTCCTTTATCTAATCAGGCTCTTCTAATCTTAAGTTCTTAACGGAACAAACTTAATAAATTGTGTTTTTGTAATTCTAAAGGGACTTAGCCACCACATTTATTAACCCTAAATACTTCCCATCATGCACCTAGAGGTTGTCTACACTATATCCCACATATATACATATATTAGTATTAAGTGTCCAAAGCTCATAAGTATTTGATTATATTATTAATAGGCTTAAGCATCATTAAATGGATCATAATTTTAGCTTATTTTTAACAAAATAAAAATAACCATAATTGATTGTAGCTCATAATAAACTTTATAAAAAATTTTAAGAGTGATTATACAGTAAACTCAACAAAAAGAAAAAGGAGTAGTTAATAAAAAACTATTTAACAAAAATTATCAATTAAGACTAAAGTGAACATCTTAAAATTTCATGCTAAGCCAAAGATGTAAACTTGAACATCCCTTATATACTTTGGTCATAGAAACTTGAGTATATATATATATATATATATATATATATATATATATATATATATATATCGACTTTATGACTTAGTATCATATTTCAAGTAATAGTTATATTATCGCTATTTTATATTTATTTATTTTTGTCAAAGTTTTAAAAAATATCTAAATATTTTTTTGTGTTAATTATGTTGGTGTTTCTATACTTGAACTTCTTCCATGAAGCCCTCAACCTAAATTGTAAACTAGAAAGATTGCGATGGAACAAATAATGCTGAGTGGCGAGAAAAGAAACATAAATCATTAGTGGAAATCGTTAGTGGCTAAATGAACTCCAATACTTGAAAATGATGTTACCAAACGAATCCATTGGTTGAGAAACAATGTCAAGAAGATGTGGGAATTTTGGGAATGATAAAGTGCTGGTCATTAGCATGCAATGAATGCGGTGGACTGGGTAAAACTTTTTTGGCAACTTATACGAGAGTGAAATAAAAAGGAAACAAATTTTGGACTGAAATTTGTTAAATTCCATCATAAGCTTTTTAGCTGTTTAAGAGCAAATTAAGATGAAATAAAATAAAGTAGAGGACATGCTCATAAAAGTGGTCCCCACATTTATTTTAATCATTTAATTGACCTTAAAAGAGAAGAAAATTTAATTTTGGGCTTGCTTGAACATAAGTGTGGGGAAGCACAAGGACATGCTCCCATTTAAGTGTGGGGGGCACGGTGCTGATGTTGCAAGTTCTATGTGACAAGAATCAATAAAATGGCACATCTGAAGGACAAGTCAAAAAAAGAAAAAAAAAATCAAAAAAATCCAAAAAGAAGGAAGAAAAAAAATCGTTCATAATAAGGTTTTGAGGTCCACGTGTGCCATGTATATATATTGTTACTTCTGCCTTGCTTGACTGAATTTCTTTTGTCTAAAACATGTTCCAGCCTGTGTGATTGTGTTTTTGGGTTCATTAGAATTGATGTTGTGCTGTGTTTTTGCATTCTGAGTTGCTGTAATCTGTAGTTCTAGTTCTTGGACGAGGACATGCAATTGTTTAAGTGTGGGGGAGTTTGGTGAGTCTTTATTTGCATGTTATTTATCCTCCTAACTTGAGCATTATTGAACCCAATTAGCCATTAATATTGATGAATTTAGTGGGAATTGGATTATTGTCCTCTCAGGCATCTTAGGAAATATTTGAGTTAATTGCACTAGTTTTAAGAGATTATTATCATTGGAATAACCCGTGCTTGTAACTTGGTCTTTGGAAGAATGATTTTATCGCAGGGATTCCCCATTGTTGGTGCATGCAAGACAAAAGAGATTGTTATCATTGGGAGACAAGGTTCATGGCTGATTTTATCTTATTTTGCAAAAATATAGAAGATAAGGTCATTAATTGAAAGATCTTAACTGAATCTAGATATTTTAGATAAATACTATTGATATAAAAATCATATCTCACTCCTCAAATATCGGATTTGAACGATTTAAGAATATCTGAAAAGATAAGAAGGAGATCTTCAACTTTTATGTTGACCACGAATTCAGAATCAAATCTTATCTTAGAGAAAAATCTGTTGCAAGATTATAGATAAATTCGCACAAAATCTGGTAGCCTCACATATGTTTCGTGTTTGGATAATATCTAGAGCCACAGATGTCCAATTGAGATGAAATTTGCAGCTTTGGAAAGCTTATTCAAATATCTACAACTTCTATTTCTATCTAAAAGAGTTAAATCGGACTTCTAAAGCGCCAAACTGGGACCACAAGTGGACTGACGGTGTCAGCCCTGATGTGCAGCGCGATTTTTGTTATTCTGGGTGCTGTCTTCGCGCCTTAATGATCATTATAAATATCCACTTACACCTTAGCGGTGAAAATCAAATGTCTTCTTAAAAATTTTTTATGTAAGTCCCACGTTATTACATGTGTTTAAAGAAATTTTTAAATTATTTTTTACAGATTTTATTAAAATTATATTATTTGTTTAAAATTAAATTTAATAAATTTAAATTTAATTGAAGAAAAATATTTTAAAAATCATTTTTTTAGAGAATTGAACGATTAGTTCTTTTTAATTGTTTTTCATGGATCACTGGTAATTACCCGTAGTTTTTATAAAAAACCAGTTTTGAGTTCAAAAACACTATCATTAAACCGTTAAAGATTTTGCTTTGTAACCTCCATTGATGGACTTGAGGTTTTTGTTTTAATTTGATTGCAGTTTTGGTTTCCTTTAATTCTCTATTTTTATTGGTTATCGTTCTTTAATTTCAATTGTTAGAATTCTGATAATTGTATTTTCAACTTCTGTTTCGCAGGTGGTAGAAGTTGAGTTGTCGTGAGACTGCACTAGCCCTTTGTCTTGGTAACTTAACTAGATTTTCATTCATCCCTTTTAGTTGCAGAGTTTTGGTATTCTATATTTTATTTTATTTTTGTGGGGGAGGTATTCGTATATAATACTAATATAACTTATGATTTTTTTTTTTATTTGTTACTTTTTTGGGTACTTTTAGTAACTTATGATTATTGTACGTTGTTAACATATTATGGTGATTGGAATTAGAATTAAATGATTTTAAAGAGTACTATTATGTGTTTTAGGTTTCGTTCTATAATATTATGATGACAAATAATATAGAATGAAAGGAGTAATACAGATGATTATGGTAACTGATTAATGCCACCTATCATTGCTGAGGTGGTTTGAGAGTTTGTGTATCATTAATGATTTTGGATGCCTGTAACCTAACTTCAGTTTTAGTAATTTTTTTTTTCCCAACATTTCTCCGTTCTGGAATAGTTGTTAAATTCTAAATGCTTATAAAGATTAAGAAATTTGTTGAAAAACATTAATGTTGACAAAACTCTAGTGTAATTTACAAAACAATCCTTAAGTTTTATTTGGTTGGAGGAAATTAGAAAGGAAGAAAAGTGATAGGAAGGTAAATGGGAGGATGAAGATTAATTTTTGCCATTTGGTTGGAAGAGATGGAGAGAGATGCTGGTGGGTGTCTTTTTTCAAGGTTTTAGTTAAAATAAAATAACATCTTAAAATAATATAAGGTTAAAATTGTTATTCAATATTAATATTTTTTTCTATTCGCGAATGCTACTATCGTAAAGTGAGAAACTAGATGAAGGAAGAGTTATTTTGAGTGTTGGTTTTAAGTTTATTATTAGTTGGATGCAGTTAGAACATTTTAGTTAATTTTTTATTAGAAAAATTATGTTTCTTGATATCCCTTCAGATGTTTCACAAAATATTATCCTCTGTCTACCAAATGAAAAATTGCTCAATTTTCTCTAATTTGAGGCGGTTTCTTACAACCTTCCTTGTCTTACTGCTACAGTTTATTTTTTTATTTTTTTTTGTGTAGTGTTAGGCAACATTTTTCACTTGTTGCTAAAATCAAATGTTTCTTTACATAAAAGATGTTCATAGTGAGCACAGATTTTACATATTACAATATTTGAATAGTATAGTTTGAATATCACCTCTAACAAAAGTTAACACTTATGGATTTAAGACAATATTTATTTGAGAATAAGGATAATACTTTAAAAAAAAAAAGTGTTGTGTATACATTTTAGGCAATACTTTTAAAGTATTACTAAAATAAAACGTTGGAGGAGAATTGGAATTGATGTTTTGTTTGCTCCATTCTTGCATGAATTCCGAGCGTTTTCATTCAAGCTAATGTTGTCGACTAGCTATTCTTCTGAAGGAGTATTTGGGGATACCATTAAATCAGCTACTCACCTGCCACCAACTGCTAAAAAGAAAAAGAAAAGAAAAAGAAAAGAAAAGAAAAAAAGCATGCAATGCACACATTTAAAGTTGGTTGTAGCATTAGTGGCAGATTATTGTTGTCCATCAATCTTTTCTCATTCTTCTGTTTGATAGGTAACACGTTGTTATTATTATTATTATTATTTCTACGTAATGTAGTAGTATCACCAACGAACTCATCACACACAGTTTTTATTTAGAATTGAATAAACTAAGTTTACTACTACGTATATTTATTTGCAGGGAGAGTCATCTAGCGAGTTGAAGTTGCATTACAATGAGTGCAGGTCCCAGCAAACAAAAGCCAGGTCCCAGCAAACCAAAGCCAGATCCCAGCGAACCAAAGGCAGGTCCCAGCAAACCAAGGGAGCCAGATTTCACTGAGGAATTCAAAGTTCAACCTAGAAAAGACCAGTACCAGGAATTTATCTCTAGAGTGCGCCAGCAAGTAGTCCCAAACCCTGCTGATCCTACTTCTACTCCTCACTCTACTCATGGTCTTCCTGCGCTTATCCCTGAACAAACTAATCGGAGCGAGATTCGACTCTTCGATTTGGTATTAAAGGCAAATAATGGAGTTCCTCACACTGTCATACTCCGATTTAGAAGGGACAACCTCTACCTAATTGGTTACCAGATGGAAAATGGAAATTGGTTAGAGCTAGACAACGAAAAACATGAGCACTTAATTACAGGTGCAGAATGGTTACCCTTTGATGCCAGCTACGGGGGATTGGCAGCAGCTGCTGTTGCTGATGAAAATAAGCAAGCTGCTGATGAAAAGAAGCAAGCTGCTGATAAAAAGAAGAAAAAACCCCTGGGTGTTGAAGACATCGCCGTTGGCTCTAAAAGCCTAGGAAATGCGGTAATTCAACTCGCTACATCTGAAGTCAATCGCAATAGGGCAAAGAGTTTAATGGCTATGATTGTGATGATTTCTGAAGCACTTAGGCTGAATAACGTACGGCAATTCGTGGAAGAGAATTACGAGCAAGGTAGCACGATTCGGCAGGGGATGGATGGAACAGATTCACGCTTCAAACGACTTGATGATGAGATTAAGGATTGGAGTCACTTATCAAAAACATTGTTTTTCTTGGATGCATGCCCCTCTGAGCCAAACAGCAATAATGTCTACCAAAGCGGCGGCAAAGAGTCCACCTACAAAAGTGCACTGCAGATAATAAAAGACTGGGGTGGTATTCAAATTATCATTGCATTGTTGGGCATTGTCAAGTATTTTTGCTTCAAACCACAGCCACGCAAGCCCAGGGCGGCCGTGGAAGATGGAGGTGATGATGGGCAGTGTATTGTAATTGGATCAGAGCTTCTCGAGGGATGTGATGATGGGCAGTGTATTGTATTTGGATCAGAGCTTATCGAGGTGTTCTCGATACGCATTGACAACAATTACACACATGCACGCGAGATCTATGGAATAATCACAGCTACTGATGCACTAAGGACCCAAATAATTTATAACACCTCAAAAGACAATCCTGAGTACATCAATCCAGGCCCAAATGATGTTTTGCTTACTGGACCATCTGAAGAAGCCATCTCGGCCCTTGGCGAGGTTACTATCCAGTTTCTTCTCAAAGAAAAGGGCAGAAACGACGGCAAAGAAGTCATCCTTTATCAAGGCTTGTACTGGAGTTCCTTCAAATTTGGCAATGTGTATGACAAACCCACATCCAAGGCATTCGACATAGATGGGGGTCGCTTGATCATCAATTATGGCGTGTCTAGACATGCAGCAGCTGCTAAAGTGAACATATCCAAGTTTAAAGGAGGGGAAAACACAAGTGAAGTTTATGGGAAGGTTTCGAGTTTAGCTGGTTGGAATGGTGCTGATGCCACAAGCATCTTGTTCCAGAGAGAAAAAGGAGATCGCGTCACAGTAAACCGTGGGGAACTCATTCCATTGTCGAGATCCATTGTAGTTGTACCATTGAGCAGCTCCACTCTCAAAGTCACAGTGCAGGTAAATCATCATAACATGATATTTCCCGACGTAGAACTTGCTAATGACACCATCCAGCTTGAAACAAAGGAATCAGGCTCAGATCAGAGGGCCATCCAAGAAACGGATACTGCGCTCTTCACTCCAGATGATTCTGTGCTCTTAATGGTTGTCGATTGGGCAACTCCAATTTGATTAAGTGCGTAAGTAGGTGGTGGTGGCATCATGTGGGAATATCATTTAGTGAGTGATAAGTGTCTAATAATAATGCTATTTAATTAGTGTGCAATTAACATGTAATCTTTTTAAATAATGTGTCATATTATCATATTAAGTGTGTTGTGTGTGATAAGACTATCTTGATGTAATATGGAGTATTTAAGTGTATAATAAATATTTTCATCCTACGTGATATTTTATGGAGGAATATAAAATCTTGTTAATTTTAGCTTTTAAGATTAAAAATAAATGATTAATAATAGTAAAATTTTATTAAAAAAGATATTTATTTTATTTTTATAATTTTAATATTATAATTATATAATTTTTTAATAATATTTTTTATTAAATTAACACTATATATATATATATAAAGACACAATAAACCTATGCATATCAGTTAATTACCTGTTTGTTATTGGACTTCCGTCATGTGAGATGATATAATATGGGCCCTATGGGTACATGTCTTGCTACAATGGGTGAAACAATTTTTTGGTCATTGATCTCCTAACCTACTGCAACGGCATTTAATAATCTATCGACTCAGTACACAAATTCGGCGTTTAATAAAGTTTCTCTCTCTTTCTCCAATTATTTCATTTGAGAGATCCACTCATTTCATTTCAAGGGCATTTGGGCTGGCCGCCACGGTAGTCATATGGGCATAACAAGGGCACTCCTCATAGTGGCCATAAGGGACACAATTGCATCTTTGACAAGGTAGTTCCACAAGCTCTTTTGCATAGGTTTGGCCGTGATGATAACTGGCACCTCACATTGCATGCGGCATCACAATCTAAACCATAACAAGAAAAATAATATTTTCATAACTCATATATATAAAATATATGCACGTTTTAATGTAAGAATACTCAAGCATTGACCTATATATAAATGCATCTTGAGATGAATATATAGTTTACATTTGGACCAGATTATTAGTATTGTAAGAATAGATATGAATGTGCATATATATGCGCATTAATCTGCTTAGTGTCTTTGAGGCTAACACTTTTTTTTTTATTATTAAAAAATTAAGTATCAGTCAATAACGTAGTAAAAATTATTATATACCGAAAAAATGTTGACAAAATACTTTGTTTCAGTAATTTTTTTATTTATACTTTAATGGCTAAAAAACCGCTCAAGGTTACGGTTTAAGAAACTCTTTCCTTCAGAAACGATTTAGGGTATGTTAATTTATACTATTTTTAAAAAAGAAATCAAACATACTCTTAGAAATAAAAAAAAAATTTCCCCTATTTTAATTGTTCCAAACACACTCTAGAGAACGAAGATTGGACAATAAGTATGGTATGCATTCCAATTGTTGACCCAAAGAATCATCAACTTCTCTACAATTTTTTATGATTAAAAAGCAAAGCAATTTTTTTTAGTAGTCATCAATTTACTCCTTGATAACCCTAAGTTAATAATCCTTGTTTATATTAGACACATCACGTATGATGCCCAACCATGACAATCCATGATTTGTACAATCCCTACCTTTCAGATATGCTGCACCAGAGCAGTACAAATTTGGGGCTCGGGGACCCTTCCCTGGGTCCCAAGTGAAATGGCAAAATATAGCACATGGAGGGGGGTTGGATTGTGCGTTCAAAAACTATTGCAATCTAAAACTTTAAAAGCCTCTCTCAAAATCGGGGAAGGAAAAGATAACTAGGAGCAAAACTAAGTTTCCTAATCTAGTTCGTATCCCACTATTGGGTCTAAATGTTATCTTTGGAATGGACTGGCTCCGTGCCAACCATATAATTCTAAATTGTGCTGCTAAGTCTATAATATTACCAGAAACACCGCTAGGGAGAGCAAAGTGGATCGCTAGTAAGACACGCACAGTGCATATAAAAATAATCTCCTTGTATTTGATTGATTCACCAAATTACCCCTAGTACTTGGGCCTATAAGTACCTTTTTCGCTAATTCATTGAAACCTGATTTTGCAACCCCCAAAGGTAGAATTAGGTTTTCTCTCTTTTTACTTTTTCTTCTAGTGTTTGGAGAATAGCTTGTAATGATTATAGGATCGCGATAGTGAATCACTAGCTCATTGGTTAGTCAAATTCTCATCAAAATTGCAATTGTATATGATGCGTAGAGTAATGGAAAGTAATCAAGACTTTTTTGCTTAATTTTCTTCTTTACAAAATCTAATGTAATCCTTGTAATAATAATTCAACCGGATCAACTATTTTCTTTTTTTTTGGGGAAAACTTGACTTACAAATATGAAACAAATGGGAAGAATCTGGTCAATTACTTGATGAGATAGAAAGATGCGAATGGGGCAATTAGCATGTGCACAGGGTAAAAGGTAATCAAACTCGAAAGTGTGCGGCTTTTGTGTCCAAGATTTTTGTAACTGTCTGAAGTGTACAATGAATTGCACTATGATCCTTTATGTGAAAATCAAACCTGTTGTTCCAAGAAATCTTGAGAAGAAATTCTGTTTCCTGCAGAATCCAGGAAGTAGAAATTTCAGTGACAAAGAAATAATCCTTATGACTTTTATGAAAAATTTTCTTTCAAGAAGATTCAAATTTACCCACATTTTTGAACCATTAACATTTGTTATTCTAGTGGCCATAAGTTTTAGATGATTCCAGTACCAATTTACTACCGTCAACTGTCTAGAAATTTTACTGCCGGATAAGTAGACCATCGAAGCAATAACATTTCAAAACTGCACCCGTGACGTTGCAAAAAGAATAGGGATAAAGGTTGATGAAGAGAAAACAAGAACTTGGAATTACCTGAAGTAATTAGAATTAAACTTGTGACAACTTGTAACATTGGACTCGATAAAACTTTAAAAGTTATTTTTGTTAAACAGTAAAGCTTGCACAATACATTGCAAAGAAATGTCATGGTTTAGCAATTGAAACAAGGCTATAATCATGAAAAAAGAAATCACAGTCGTTGGTGGGATCACGAATGAAAAAATGGAAAAGGGAAAAGAGGTTTAAAACATGTTGAAGACCAGATAATTTAGTTTAGTAAAAAAGAAAATGCAAAATTTTGTGTGACAATCATGTGCTATCTTTATTGGTATCCAATACTATAATAATAATAATAATAATAATTTAGCCGTAAAGAAAATGTAAAATTTTTGGTTTTATAGCATAAATACTATTGATCTTATTTCATTTCAATTCTTTTGTCAGGCCATATCCACGCATCATTCATCGAGATATTAAGTCATCAAACATCCTTGATCACAACTTTGAAGCTCAAGTAAGCCACTTTAATAATCTGTACCCGCCAATGCAGAATACATTTTGAAAATTTTAAGCAAGTCTTTTAGTAAATCAATTCATGATTCAATTCCAGCTTGTGCTGCATTGGCATCTTCAAATTTGTGTATCACTTTTGATACGATTGTGACCTTCTCTGGTATGATTTTGCCATCAGGTTTCAGACTTTGGGCTTGCAAAATTGGCATTGGACTACATAGTAACTTTGTCCAGGTTACACCATATTTAATTGGGATGTTTGAGCCACATAATGGAATCCTGTTATTAGCCCTTACATCTTATTTCTTCTTCTGACTATCCGTATTGCATATCAAAATAAATGTATTACATCTATCGTATAAATTGCTTTTATTAATCATTGTTAATATTATCTTATGAGTAATACTGTTAGTTTGTTAATTAAGTTGGACAAGGAATAGCTGCTAAAAAGTACAAGCCCGAAAACACAATATGGACTCCGGCCACACCTTTGTAACTCCAAATACCCAAATTCGTTATAGTCCCTAATATTCCAACCGTTCCACGAATTAATTATTCCTAAACGAGTCATGAAGAGTATAACAAACATATCCTGTCTCCAGGTTAGATCAAGAATAGGGTTAGAGAGATTAAAACTGCTAATTCATATAGAACCATCGAACCAGCTCAACCAGCAACTAGAGCTGTATGCATTATGTGATCAGAAAGTAAAAGGCTTGGATCATTTAATACAATAGTATGAATACAATAGGTAAACCCATGAAAATACCCCTTATATCAACAAAAAAAATAGACACTATGTAACTTTATTGCACCGGAAATAACTACACTATGAATTCTGAAGTATTGTGTTATTATCATCTGCTGGCTTATTTAAATTCTAATTGAAATATTTTCAGCTTAATTTTATTACTCTCAGCTTAATTTTATTCTTAGTACATCTAACGGAAATGATGGTCTGAATTGCCAGGTACATGGCACCAGAATATGCTACAAGTGGGAAACTAACTGAAAAGTCTGATGTATATTCCTTTGGGGTTTTGCCTTTGGAGCTAATTACTGGTCGTAAGCCTGTAGATGCATCTCAGCCAATTGGTGATGAGAGCCTGGTTGAATGGGTGAGTCATGAGTTTCCATCAACATTTTCTTTTATTATTATTATTATTATTAGGAAATACATGTAGAAAAATAGGTTCTAAGGATTTAGCTTACACAAATTTCCTAAATTTAATTAATTGATATAGGCATATAGCTTCATAGGGTCAGACTTCAGACATGTAAAGCAATAAAATCTTGTTTACATCATTTACAAAACTCTGAAAACAGAAAACAGCTTGAAAAAATGGTAACTTTTTTTTTTTTTTTATAATTATTAGTAAAAACTTGAACGAAGAGGTAAAAAACAAGGGACAATCTTAAATCATAACCTAGAAAGAGATTGAAAAAAAAGACAAGGAAATGGCTCATGTTTCATAATTTGTGATTTAGCAAAATAGAAATTTTTATGAATGCTGAAGGAGATATTTGTGATCAAGTATAAGATCAACTTGTACTCGCCTACATTTGCTTACATAATAGTACTCAATTACATGCACTTTCTATAAATTGTAGAAGAGAGGCAAGGGTAAATATCTCATTTTCAATAATTAACAAACTTGTATCCAGGCTCGGCCTCTGTTGACCGAAGCACTTGATAACGAGGACTTTGAAATTTTGGTAGATCCAAGACTGGGAGAGAATTATAATAGAAATGAGATGTTTCGGATGATTGAGGCTGCTGCAGCCTGCGTACGCCACTCATCAGTAAAGAGGCCGCGGATGAGTCAGGTAATGTTATCCTCTGGAATTATAGCAGGCCACATATAGCTGTTGTGATTTTGAAGATACCAATTTGTACATGCTTTGATTTCATTTGTGCATCACTGCTTCACAGGTCGTGAGAGCTTTAGATTCCTTAGACTAGTTTACAGATCTCAATAATGGAATGAAACCGGGGCAGAGTTCGGTGTTTGATTCTGCACAGCAATCTGCACAAATAAGAAGTTTAGAAGGATGGCTTTTGGGAGCCAAGATAGTTCCAGTTTCTTTAATGAGTCTCAGAGTAGCTGGAGGAGTAGAGACCAGGACTCAACTACTCTGTTTTCCCAAAATAAATCTGCCACTTGGAATGTTTGAGTCAGATGATTCACTCTTATCTTAAGGGATTGCAAAAATTTTGATTGATGCACAACAAATTGCATTTCCTTGGGTGTACTCTACTCTGTAAATCTCATTTTTAATATTTTTGTTCTCTTCATCGTGATTTTGCTTGCTATGGCACTTTGATTCTTTGTATATTAGGTTTTTTTTTACAGAACTCAATGTATTTATTATTGATGTTAATGATATAATATCTTGTATGAGTTGTGATCGATCTGAATTCACCGTTCTTTACGCAGTTTAAATTTAATAAATATGTGCAACTTGAATTAAATTGATATATATTAAGATATGAATTATAAATCATAGATGGTTAACTAGTGTGATAGGTTATATTATTTAATTTTAAATTAAAATAATTGTATAATTAATATATTGAATTTATGTTAATGTATTATTTTATATATTTTTTTAAATATTAATTTTAAAAATATTTTATTTTAAAATTAATTGTATAATTTTATTTTTTAAAATTAGTTAGTATTACGTAAAAGTAAACAAGAGAGTTTCAAAAGGAAATATGAGATAAAAAAAAAGATGAGCCAGAACAGTGAGGGTCACTGTTGAGGCTGACCCAGGGGTCATTTCCTCACAATATTACAACACGAAAAGTCCAAGTGTATGAAGAAAGGATGGGGATGCTTAAGCAACTCATCTGTGAACTTCAGCAGATTTTGGACTCTTGCCACTCTCATTCGCATTCTTCAACCTTCTCATCATACTCTCTTTCAATTCTGTTACATTTTTTTCTATCTATATGAGTATGAGTATTTCTTTCTTTCTATCTATATGATACATTTTCTCTCTCTCTCTCTCTCTGTTGTTCTGTCTAATTTCCAATTCTGTTATACACCTAGACTAATGTGGAACCATGCAAAAATCTTATCATGGGTCTTCAATTCTTTTTGTGTTTTGAGTGGATATGGTTATTAGTTTTTGTAAGAAGTCTCAAGTCATTCTTAAATAGTTTATTGACATTAATTACTCCTACTGTTTGCTTTCATGGTTTTACTTTCTGCAAATTTCATTTTCATTTATCTGAGTCGATCATTTTACTTAGAGATTAATTTATGCATTTGATAGAAATTGAGGAATAGGATGCTCATAAAGAAGATGAAGTAGAAAAAAAAAGAATGAGTTATTCGAATTGTTGAAAGACTCCTTCAACAAATTAATGGTTATGAAAAAAAATGATAAAGGGTGAGAATGAAGTAGCAAATACTAAAGAATAAAGGGAAAAATTATATATATATATATATATATATTAGATGTCCTTGTTAGCTTTTTTGATAACGTTTACTGTACAATGTTAATTGGACATGATAGGTTACAAGTTTTTTTTATAAGAATAAAAATGAATTTCATCTAATAAATAAGATCTATATTTCAATCAATTCAAAAAAAATATCAATGCTGCATCAACTATAACATATATAAATAATGTTAACTTCCATTGCGAGCACGTGATCAAAAGCAAAAACGATATATATATATATCGCAATCGTGTTAAGATTGGTATAATTTTAGGTATTTTTAATTTGGTATATTTATGTTTGATACTATTCTTATTTTATTAGTATTAGCTTTTTTTTAATGAATAATTTTATATTTTTAAAATTGTATATGTTTTTTCTTAAAGGGATCAAAATTTAAGAATATTCATGTCAAAATTAGTAGTAACGTATATATTACTATATAATTCATGAAATTAGATTTTTTTTTCTCAATTTTATGTATAGTAAATAAACAAATTTTACTTTTATAGTCAAATGAATTTCTCCCATTATAATTTTTAAAAAAATTAATTGTATTTTTACTAACATTTGTGCTCTGTTATAATTGTATTTGTTCTCTTAAGTCAAAGGTCTAGCTTTACTAGCCATACAAACTATCCTTTCAGCTTCACTTTTAAACGCAAGTGCTAATAATTTCTTTAGCTTTGTTCTAAGATATCGATACTTTTTCGATCGTTTTAAAATAAACTAATAGTAATTAAAATAAGTAACTAATAAAAAAACAATTATTTAAATTATTAAAAAAATTAATTCAAGGTTGATCATTAAGTTTATTAGCTTAATATAATACATATAAAAGTAAAATAAGAAAGATAGATAAAAAGATTGACTTTATGTAAAAGTATCATTATAAGTACTCTCATTCAGGATAAAGGAGAGCTTAAAATTTTATTAGAAACATCATAACAGAACGCTAAAGAGAGAAGTAAAGTCACATATTTTAATTGCAGAACGAAGAACAAGTATATCCCTAATAAGAACCCATGTTATTTATCCTCCTAACTTGGGCATTATTGCAACCAATTAGCCATTGATATTGATGAATTAAGTGGGAATTGGATTATTGTCCTCTCAGGCATCTTAGGAAATAATTGAGTTAATTGCACTAGATATTTTAGAAAAGTGCTATCAACATAAAAATCATATCTCACTCCTCAAATATCGGATTTGAATGATTTAAGAATCTCTAAAAAGACAAGAAAAAGATCTTCAACTTTTATGTTGACCACGAACTCAGAATCAAATCTTATCTTGGAGAAAAATCTGTTCAAGATTAAAGGATAAATTCGCACAAAATCTGGTAGCCTGACATATGTTCTGTGGTAATTATTCACTTAACAAAAAATTGCAAAAATATACATAGATAAACGTTATGTTTGTGCCAAAAAATGAGTGTTAAATTCAGACCCCCTCACCCAAGTTTGGGAGCAACCCCTTCTCTCTCACTCTCATTCTCTCTCCACAGTATTCCCTTCTTCTTCACCTCTTTCTTTTAGGATTAGTTTATTTTTATTTTTGATTTTGCTTTGTAACCTCCATTCATGGAGGAGTAGTTCTTTTTACCTTGTAGGATTGACGTTGTTCTTGAGGTTATCGTTTTAACTTGATTGCAATTTTGGTTTCCTTTAATTCTCTATTTTTATTTTTATTGGTTATCGTTCTTTAATTTCAATTGTTAGAATTCTAATAATTGTTTTTTTTAACGTGCCTATGGTTAGATTTCATTCATAGGGAGAGAATTAGAATTGATTCCCAAATTTGGGAATTAGGTTGATTGCGAATGATAATTAAATTGGCTTAGATTCATTGTATTGTGTTTATAAGTGTTCAAAAGGCATTAATTCTAAATTTCAGTGCGTTAGAACAGAGTATTGAAGCTATTTCAGCATAATACAAATTCTTAATTATTATTTATGGAAAATTAGAAATTCCTGATCTCCTAAACTTCCACAACTGATCCCATGAAATTTGACGTTATGCTTATGTTTAAATACTAAATAATTGCTTCATTTTCAACTTCTGTTTCGCAGGTGGTAGAAGTTGAGTTGTCGTGAGACTACACTAGCCCTTTGTCTTGGTAACGTAACTAGATTTTCATTCCTCTCTTTTAGTTGCAGAGTTTGGTATTCGTATATTTTATTTTATTTTTGGGGGGAGGTATTCGTATATAATAATAATATAACATAATTATTTTTTTCACTTTATTTGTTTTTTTTTTCTTTGGATACTTTTATCAACTTATGATTATTGTACGTTGTTAACATATTATGGAGATTGGAATTAGAATTAAATGATTTTAAAGGGTTCTATTATGTGTTTTAGGTTTCGTTCTATAATATTGGTCATCTTACGATTTACGTACTATACAGATGACCATGGTAACTGATTAATGCCACCTATCATTATTGAGGTCGTTTGAGAGTTTGTGTATCATTAATGATTTTGGATGTCTGTAACTTAACTTCAGTTCTAGTAATTTTTTTCCCAACATTCCTCCGTTCTGGAATAATTATTAAATTCTAAATGCTTATAAAGATTAAGAAAGTTGTTGAAAAACTTCTAGTGTAATTTACAAAACAATCCTCAAGTTTTATTTGGTTGGAGGAAATTAGAAAGGAAGAAAAGTGATAGGAAAGAAAATGGGAGGATGAAGATTAATTTTTGCCATTTGGTTGGAAAAGATGGAGAGAGATGTAGGAAAGAAATTACAAAATAATCATTTTCTTTCTCTTCATCCAAATATACATGCTAAAAATAAAACTTCACCCAGCTTTGCTCCGTTTTTTCTCTTTCTTTTGCTAAATACACCCAAATATACATGCGAAAAATAAAACTTCACCCAACTTTGCTCCTTTTTTTCTCTTTCTTTTGCGAAATACACCCTTACTTATTTATCTCTCATCTCAGTTACTCTATTTTTTTTCCTCTAATTCTCTTTCATCTATTTTTCAATTCATATGGGGTATGTGATTGGGAAAAAATATTTAATACAGACTAAAATATTTAAATGAATAATTATTTGTAGTGAAATCAAATTTTTGAAATAGACATATAATAAAAGACGAAAAAAAATACTATTTTTTAAAGATTTCTATTGGCGAATGCTACTATCTTGAAGTGAGAAACTAGATGAAGGAAAGAGTTATTTTGAGTGGAAAGTGGATGGCTTTGAGGTTATTATTAGTTTGATGCAGTAAGTACTTCTTAGTTATTAATTTTTTATCAGAAAAATTATGTTTCTTGATATTCCCTTAGATGTTTCATAAAATATTATCCTCTTCTATCTACCAAATGAAAAATTGCTCAATTTTTTCTAATTTGAGGCAGTTTCTTACAACCTTCGTTGTCAAACTCCTACAGTTTAGCATTTTTATTTTTATTTTTGGGTGTAGTGTTAGGCAACATTTTCACTTGCTGCTAAAATCAAGTGTTTCTTTACATAAAAGATGTTCGTAGTGAGCACAGTTTTTACATATGACAATATTTGAGTAGTATAGTCTGGATATCACCTCTAATAAAATATTTACACTTTTTCTCCAAGGTAGTACTCTCAGTTTTTTTGTTTTTGGTAAATTAACAGTTATGGATTTAAGACAACATTTATTTGAGATTAGGGATAATACTTTTAAAAAAAAGTGCTGTGTGTATACATTTTAGGCAATACCTTTAAAGTATTAATGTATTACTAAAATAAAACGTTAGAGGAGAAGTATTAATGTATTACTAAAATAAAACGTTGGAGGAGAATTGGATTTGATGTTTTATTTGCTCCATTCTTGCATGAATTTCGAGCTTTTTCATTCAAGCTAATGTTGTCGACTAGCTATTCTTCTGAAGGAGTATTTGGGGATCCCATTAAATCAGCTACTCACCTGCCCCCAAGTGCTAAAAAGAAAAACAAAAGAAAAGAAAAAGCATACAATGCACACATTTAAAGTTGGTGGTAGCATTAGTGGTGGCAGATTAGTTGTTGTTGTTATTGTTATTATTTCTACATAATGTAGTAGTCGCACCAACGAACTCATCACACAAATTTTTTATTAGAATTGAATAAACTAAATTTACTAGTACGTATATCTATTTGCAGGGAGAGTCATCTAGCGAGTTGAAGTTGCATTACAATGAGTGCAGGTTCCAGCAAACCAAAGCCAGGTCCCAGCAAACCAAAGCCAGGTTCTAGCAGACCAAGGGAGCCAGATTTCACTGAGCCATTTGAAGTTCAACCTAGAAACAACAACCAGTACCACCAATTTATCTCTCGAGTGCGCGAGCAAGTAGTCCCAAACCCTGCTGATCCTACTTCTACTCCTCACTCTACTCATGGTCTTCCTGCGCTTATCCCTGAACAAACTAATCGGAGCGAGATTCGACTCTTCGATTTGGTATTAGGGGCAAATGATCGAGATGGGAATCATCACACTGTCAGGCTCCGATATAGAAGGGACAACCTGTACCTAATTGGTTACCAGATGGAAAATGGACAATGGTTAGAGCTAGACTACGAAAATCATGAGCACTTAATTACAGATGCAGAATGGTTACCCTTTGATGGCAGCTACGGGGGATTGGCAGCAGCTGCTGTTGAAGAGAAGCAAGCTGCTGATGAAAAGACGCAAGACTCCATGGGTGTTGAAGACATCGCCGTTGGCTCTGAAAGCCTAAGAAATGCCGTAACTCAACTCGCTACATCTGAAGAAAATCACAATAGGGCAAGCAGTTTAATGGCTATGATTGTGATGACTTCTGAAGCACTTAGGCTGAATCACGTACGGCAATTCGCGGAAGAGAATTACGAGCAAGGAAGAACGATTCGGCAGGGGATGAAAGGAGGAGATTCACGCTTCAAACGACTTGAAGATGAGATTAAGGATTGGAGTCACTTATCGAAAACATTGTTTTTCTTGGATTCATGCCCCTCTGGTGATTCAAGCAGCAAGATTGAATACATAAGCGGCGAGAAAAAGTCCACCTACGAAAGTGCACGGAAGATAATAAAAGAATGGGGTGGTATTCAAATTATCATTGCATTGTTGGGCATTGTCAAGTATTTTTGCTTCAAACCACAGCCACGCAAGCCCAGGGCGGCCGTGGAAGATGGAGGTGATGATGGGCAGTGTATTGTAATTGGATCAGAGCTTCTCGAGGGAGGTGATGATGGGCAGTGTATTGTAATTGGATCAGAGCTTCTCGAGGTGTTCTCGATACGCATTGACAACAATTACACACATGCACGCGAGATCTATGGTATAATCACAGTTACTGATGCACTAAGGACCCAGATAATTTATAGCAGCTCAAAAGACAATCCTGAGTACATCAATCCAGGCCCAAATGATGTTTTGCTTACTGGACCATCTGAAGAAGCCATCTCGGCCCTTGGCGAGGTTACTATCCAGTTTCTTCTCAAAGAAAAGGGCAGAAACGACGGCAAAGAAGTCATCCTTTATCAAGGCTTGTACTGGAGTTCCTTCAAATTTGGCAATGTGTATGACAAACCCACATCCAAGGCATTCGACATAGATGAGGGTCGCTTGATCATCAATTATGGCGTGTCTAGACATGCAGCAGCTGCTAAAGTGAATATATCCAAGTTTAAAGGAGGGGAAAACACAAGTGAAGTTTATGGGAAGGTTTCGAGTTTAGCTGGTTGGAATGGTGCTGATGCCACAAGCATCTTGTTCCAGAGAGAAAAAGGAGATCGTGTCACAGTAAACCGTGGAGAACTCATTCCATTGTCGAGATCCATTGTAGTTGTACCATTGAGCAGCTCCACTCTCAAAGTCACAGTGCAGGTAAATCATCATAACATGATATTTCCTGATATAGAACTTGCTAATGACACCATCCAGCTTGAAACAAAGGAATCAGGCTCAGATCAGAGGGCCATCCTAGAAAAGGATCCCTCGTTCTTCACTCCAGATGATTCTGTGCTCTTAATGGTTGTCGATTGGGCAACTCCAATTTAAGTGCGTTAGTAGGTGGTGGTGGCATCATGTGGGAATATCATTGAGTGAGTGATAAGTGTCTAATAATAATGCTATCTAATTAGTGTGCAATTAACATGTAATCTTTTTAAATAATGTGTCATATTATCATATTAAGTGTGTTGTGTGTGATAAGACTATCTTGATGTAATATGGAGTATTTAAGTGTATAATAAATATTTTCATCCTACGTGATATTTTATGGAGGAATATAAAATCTTGTTAATTTTAGCTTTTAAGATTAAAAATAAATGATTAATAATAGTAAAATTTTATTAAAAAAACGTATTTATTTTATTTGTATAATTTTAATATTATAATTATATAATTTTTTAATAATATTTTTTATTAAATTAACAATATATATATATATATATATATATATATATATATATATACAGACACAATAAACCTATGCATATCAGTTAATTACCTATTTGTTATTGGACTTCCATCATGTGAAATTGTATAATATGGGCCCTATGGGTACATGTCTTGCTACAATGGGTGACAATATTTTTGTCACTGATCTCCTAACCTGCATTTAATAATCTATCGAGTCAGTACACAAAATCGGCATTTAATAAAGTTTATCTCTCTCTCTTTCACCAATTATTTCATTTGAGAGATCCACTCATTTCATTTCAAGGGCATTTGTGCTGGCCGCCACGGGTAGTCATATCGGCATAACAAGGGCACTCCTCATAGTGGGCATAAGGGACACAATTGCATCTTTGACAAGCTCTTTTGCATAGGTTTGGCCTTGATGATAACTGGCACCTCACATTGCATGCGGCATCACAATATAAACTATATGCACGTTTTAATGTAAGAGTACTTAAGCATTGACCTATATATAAATGCATCTTGAGATGAATATATAGTTTAGATTTGGACCAGATTATTAGTATTGTAAGAATAGATATGAATGTGCATACGCGCGTTAATCAGCTTAGTGTCTTTGAGGCTAACACTTTTTTTTTTTATTATTATTAAAAAATTAAGTATCAGTCAATAACGTAGTGAAAATTATTATATACAGAAAAAATGTTAACAGAATACTTTGTTTCAGTCATTTTTTTATTTCTACTCTATTGGCTAAAGAACCGCTCAAGGTTACGGTTTAAGAAACTCTTTCCTTCAGAAACGATTTAGAAATCAAAATTTTTTTCCCCTATTTTAATGGTTCCAAACACACTCTAGAGAATGAAGATTGGACAATAAGTATGGTATGCATTCCAATTGTTGACCCAAACAATCATCAACTTCTCTACAATTCAAATGTATTTAACAAGATAAATAATTCCTATTTCTAACAAGATAGATAATTTCTATTTCTATTTGTTTTTATAGCGATGAAGTTTTAAGATTTATTTTTTTCCTTTTTATCTATGAGTTGGGATCATTTCAGATAACTTTAGACTTAAAAAAAGTTGTGTAGCAACAACAATGTGAATGTAAGTCGGGTTATTTGTCATGAGAACTTTAGTCATAGCTTATCTTCTCTATATATATCCTGTAAATTTAGTAAACTATCTGTTGATTGTGGACAACATTATAGAATGAATGTTAGCTCCTGTGATCTTTTATACTTAGTCTTACAATATACCTAAAATGAGAATGCATATTATTAATGTATTAGAATATTAACTTAGAATTCTAGCAACCTTGACAGGATATAAAACACACTATCTTTGTTATCTCACTACATTTTTATCTTTACATAATAATGATTATTAATTATATATATATATATATATATATATATCATTTTATTTTTCTTTCTTTTCCTTTTTCTCTTTATTCTTTTCTATCATCCGAAAGAATTAATAATTCTTAAACATTATATGCTTTTACATGAGACATTATTCAAAAAATAAATCTTATTTTTGCATATATGCTTTTTGTGTATGCATATTTTTTTACACCTCAAGTACTTTTGTCCTCTTTATTATTACATGGAAAATAAAACTAGTTACAAAACTTTTGTTTTTCAACATCCTGCTTTAACAAAATTGTTAGTTTGTCATAAACAAAGTAAATAATTGTTATTCTTAATATTTGTACTTCATAATATACGTAATTTGCTCATGATGCCATATAAATATGTTTTGTGGCTTGATAATAATATCACAGTAAATTTTTCATATCACATTGTTGCCATGATGTTTTCAAGAAAGTTATATGGTGGAGACAGTTGTTCCTGGTCTTTATACGGAGGTGTATATATCTTAAAAGAATATACCTGTTTGTATCTATTTTTATCTATGTGGGAGAAAAAATGTTTATATTCAGCTACAAAGTTTATTTCGTACACTGAAAAAAATTCTATTTTCTTATTAATGAGAGTTTTGACTATGGGTTTATATGGTTCTAATAAACCAACTTTAAATTTTGAATTATTATTAAACTTTGAATAGTTCCATTTTTATATTAATGAGAAGTCTGGCTATGGATTTATATAGTTCTAATGAACTAACATTAAACTTTGAATTATTAACATTAAATTTTAAATTATTAACTAATCAATTGTATATTAAATATATTCTTGAAAGTATATTAAATAAATAAATAAATCATAACTTGTTAATACACCTTTGTGTGCTGAGATATTAGAGTTTAATACACGTAATCATGTAAATAAAAACATCGAGATGCATGTAATATATTATTAACATATAACTTTTGATGTAAGACATCACAACTTACAGGAACTCTAGATGTTATGCCTTGTTGAAATTGATAGCAACCAAATGCATCAAGCCTTCTTATTTTTTTTTTTTAATTCACAATTTATTCCTCTTCACCTATTCGTATATATAGCATCACTAAAATTCTCATTAAATAACTTGATAAGCTGGAAACAGCCTTGATTATTTGCACATAGTAGTTTGTCACACATTGTTAAAAGAGTTGAGGGAGGTTACAAATTTGTGTGAGAACATATGCATTAACATTGGTGCCTAATTATTTGATAACAAATAATTCTGGTCTTTGTAAAAAATAAACACATCTATTTTGTATATAAAATATATCATATAAAAAACTTTAAATGTGCACTTTCTAGATTTGAAAAATTTCTTTAATAGGTGAAAACTTTAGATTATATTTATCAAGACTTTATATTTTGTTTTATAGTAACATGTTTGTGAAGGTTCAACGTCTCTCCAACTTTTGATAACTTATTAATATTTACATGTTACCAATAAACTTATCCACCAATTCTAGATATTAATATGGAAAAATCTCTCTTCTTCTCTTTGTATTTCTTAAATTTTTAAAGAATTTTTAGGATTTCAAAACAAAAATTTTGATTGGAAGAGTTTTATTTGATTTTTTTTTCTTCTCTTGTGTTTTGTAATAAAAATTGGTTAACATGTTACTAATTGATTATCTTACTATTTTATATTATTTAGAAGAGAGTAGTTGATTTAAAAGTTAAAGTTAATAGTTAATAAATAAGTTATTAATTTAACCATTTTATCTTATAATATTTTTAAATATAATATAAATATATTATATAATTATTTTTATATTTTTGATAAATTAACTGTTTTATTATAATTATTGAGTGGTAAAAATCATCTTTATTGTATATAATGCTTAAATATTTACAATTGATTTTGTATTTAAAAAAATTTACACAATAATTTATAACAATGATGTATAAAATATTTTATCATTCCTACGTAATAAAATTGTAAAAATATTAATTTAGCTATATTACTTAACATCATATACCTGTGAATTGTCTCAAAAATATTAAATATCTACCCTCATCTCTGGAAAAAAACAAAAAAAAAGTAAATTACTCTGTCATTCACATATAATACAAATCATAAAATTAAATTTTTTCATCTTATCTCTAGACAAAACTAAAAAAAATAAAATAATACATCCTTTATTTAAGTTTCATTCCACCTATTTATTTGATTATTTTTATGTGCATTTTCTTGCATATGTTCACATATTTGTGTTATTTTTTATAATTCAAATATATCTAATAGAACTTTAAGGTAGATAACTATTATTTTTATTTGATTTGTTGTTTATTTGTTTTTACAACAATGGAGTTTTAAAATTTGTTTACTCACTTATATACCATTGATTATCCATAACATGAGTAGGACCCTATATGTTGGTCTAGGTAATTAGACTTTCTTTTGTAAATGAGAGAAAAATTAGTCTTTATTTTGGACAATGTTTAAAATTACATAGATGCACATAGTGTTGAAATTCTTCAAGAAGGGGTTGGAATTAAACTCATTCTGACGAGTAGTTTAAAACATGTGTCAACAAATGGATTGCATGCTAAATAACTTGATAAGCTTTAGAGTTATTTTTGTCAAAACTTGCAAATGAATACATACAACACTTAAACCTTAAACCTTAAAGATCGGAGATTGCACGATACATTGCAAAAAGATGTCATGATTTATTACTTGAAATTAGCGAGAGGCCATAATCATGAAAGGACGAAATGACATTATGAATATAATAAAGTTAAAAAAATGAAAATGGGAATGCAAAATTGTTTTTTATACTGTTTATTGTTATCTGATAAGATACAGGAAGTTGTTTATGAAGCTCGTTGAAAGTGGAGTCTTAACTAGAAAGAGGAGTACATATCATAGAATATGACTGGAAAGAAGAGCATTGCATATCAATGAAGGACGAACTCGATGCACTGGAGAATTTTTAAAAATAAGATGTAATATAAATTTGTATTGCATTTTATTTTTAATTCTTTTCAAAATAAAAATCAAACATACTATGAATCTTTCGCTAAAATGTTATAAGTAAATCTTTCAAGAACTAAAGCGTTGTTTTATTCTTTAGTTTATTACAATCATTTTGTTAAATATTTGCTTAAGATTAGAGTTGGTTGTAATAATGTGATCGAGGATGAATATTTGTTGAAACATATTTTAGTTATTTATTTATAAATTTGAAACAAAAGTTATTTTTTAGATTAAATTTAAAATAAAAGTTATTATTTAAATATTTTTTAATTATGATTATTATAAATAATTATTAATTTTACCAATGAGACATTGGTCTAAGTTGAAAAAGGCTCAGATCACTTAAATATTGGGTCTTAGATTCAATTGCTACATCCATGTGTATGAAGAAGTAATAACGGGAAGAGATCTCCGCTTAGACACTTGAGCATACCCCGAATGATTAGTCTTTCACCTATTAAGTGACAGGATACTCTAGAGAAAAGA